CTGTGTGTGTGTACCTGGTATTCCCTGCACTATGGGGAACAACAAGTATAGTAATACCAGTAAATTTTGACCTTGAAGGGACATTTTTGGTCCCTATGAGGAAAGAAGCTTAGAAATCATAGAGAATGTAGTTTTTTTGTTTTTGTTTTTTGTTTTTGAAAATCTAAAAAGGCAGAAAGTTTTATGTGAGGGGTAGGTTTAGGGTAAGGGGATAGAAAATACAGTTTGTACAGTGTAAAAACCATTAAAGTGTCCCCATAATGATAGGGATACCAGTGAATGTGTGTGAGAAAAACCTTTCATAAGAAAGCAAATCATTGTTGTTGTTTGATTACATCTAAATATTTTAATATCTGTCTGTTCCTCTCACAGGATTGGTCGTTTGTTTGATGGCACGGAGCCCATTGTATTGGATAGCCTGAAGCAGCATTATTTTATAGATCGGGATGGACACATGTTCCGCTACATATTAAACTTCCTCAGGACCTCAAAACTGCTCATCCCAGATGACTTTAAGGTATTTAAATCTTACACTGCATTATTATCGATGTTATAAAATAAAAATAAAGGAATAGTTCACCACAACATTAACATTGTCAATAACCATCATGTTGCTCCAAACCCATGCTGTTATTTTTTTCTTGAAACACAGAAGTAAAATACTTTGAAGAATCAATACACATCTCTTGCCATACAACAGTTCATAGTGACCAGGAGCTGTCCAAAAACAAAATAAAAGTACCGTAACAGCCATAAACAAAGACTGAATTTTCATTTCTAGGTGAATCATTCCTTAAGTATCAGTTGTGCCATCTATCTGTGTATCTGTGTGTGTAGGACTACTCTCTGCTGTACGAGGAGGCCCGATATTTCCAGCTGCAGCCTCTGCAGGCCGAGCTGGAGCGCTGGCGTTCGGAGCAGGACTCTAGGTGCACATCACGCATGTGTGAGTGTGTGGTAGTGCGCGTGGCCCCCGAGCTGGGAGAGAGGATAACGCTCAGTGGCGATAAAGCCCTCATCGAGGACATCTTCCCAGAGATAGGAGACGTCATGTGCAACTCCGTCAACGCAGGCTGGAACCATGATTCCACTCACGTCATACGCTTTCCTCTAAACGGATACTGCCACCTCAACTCTGTACAGGTGGGTGACACCTTAAACACCACTCACTCACCAGCCAATACCAATTATTTAATTATTTGTATAATAAATATTAATTTTTTAAGTATTGACCACTTTTTTACTGATTTGTGAGAATTCACGAGCCATGCAAAGTCAAAAATGTTACACAAAAATGTGGTACAGCTGTCCTGATATCATGATGAACTAAAAATTCTCATTTAAAGAATGAAATTCTTGAAAAGAAAAACTTAAGTACACTGTAAAAAATTTGGATTTTTATTTTTAATATTTTCAAAGTTGTAAATAAAGATTATTAGAGTATGTTTTGCAAGAAAATACTATTTCAGTTTTTTACACAATAAACATTAATTTTTTTCTTAGGGAATTATTTTTTTAATTCAGCTTATTCACTTTACAAAACTGTAATGATATATAATCATAATAAGCTGAATACGTTGAAATTTTAGTTTTTTATTTATACTTTTTATTATACTTTTTGTCTTTTAAATAATGATCAAGAAGTGTATACTTGCATGTATCTACAGTGTAAGGAAAACATATATTTTTTTACTTGATGGTTACACCACATGTAACCACTTCAAATGAAACCTGCAAGTCTTTTAAAACAACTTCATCCAGAAACATCAGCTGATTTTGCATTAGAAACTACAAACACTGGCCCATGATTCATGTCAGGAATGAATGTACAATATGAGCTCAATTTTTCCTATACTGTGCTCTGTAACCATTTCATACTGTGTGTGTGTGTGTATGTGTATGTGTGTGTCTAGAGGCTGTCTAATCCTGTTTGCTTATTAAATCTTTTGGCCCCTGGCACTTGCCGTCACACTAATGGAAGCAGGAGATTGAGAAAAGTAGAGGCAGAAGACAGGAAAGAAAAATTAGAGAAAAAGAGGGTTGAAGGACAAAAGCATGATGGAAAGTCACACAGTGCAGACAGACAGAAACTTTGGCCTGTAAATGAGAGGTTGGAGGGGAAAAAAAGACCAAGAAAGAGAAAGATGGTGGAAAACTGTAGATGGAGGGAGGGAGTGAAGGGAATTTTAGTGGCGCAGTGCTGGAGAGAAAAAGAGGAAGGGACATCCTTAAGGCACACTAATGGAATGTGATCTCACAGTTCTGTGGAGTGAATATCTGCAGGACTGGAGGAAACAGCGAGAGAGAGAGAGAGAGAGAGTGAGTGAGAGGGAGAAACAGACAGAAAGAAAGACAAGAATAAGCAAATGGTCTCATTTTGTTCAGTTGAGAGAGCTGCTGGACAGATGGTTTATAACACTTTCGCTGTGTTGTTTTTCTAACTGAAGATGACAGTGATTTTGTGCCAGGGGTGTTCAATTAAAGGGATAGTTCACACAAACATGAAAATTGTCACAATTTACTCATGTCGTTCTAAATCCATATGCTGCTTTTTTCTCTCTCTGTGGGACACAAAAGCAGAAATTTGAAGAGTCTTCACAAACAGTGATTGTTTATAGTACTTCTTTAAAGGGATAGTTCACCCAAAAATGAAAATTCTGTTATTAATTACCCAGCCTCACGTCATTCCAAACCCGTAAGATCTTTGTTCATCTTCGGAACACAAATTAAGGTATTTTTGATGAAATCCGAGAGCTCTCTGACCCTCCCATAGATAGCAGCGCAACTGACATGTTTAAGGCCCAGAAATGTAGTAAGGACATCGTTAAAATAGTCCATGTGACATCAGTTATTCAACTGTAATGTTATGAAGCTACGAGAATACTTTTTGTGCGCAAAGAAAACAAAAATAACAGCTTTATTCAACAATTTCTTCTGTTCCATGTCAGTCTTCAAGCTCCACATCCTTAGCAAGTATGTACATCCCAACAAGTAAAGCATACTGCATTTTTTTTGCATTTGAAACTCAAGCTGTATAAACACATTTGTCAACACAACCTGCCAAGGTTGACAACACAACCTATTCAGCAAGGATGCATTAAAATGATCAAAACTAAGCAGCACAACTGACTATTTTTAATATGACTTGAGCACCAAACCCCAGGATATTAGAATAATCTCTGAAGGACCATGTGACACTGAAGACTGGAGTAATGGCTGCTGAAAATCCAGCTTTGCCATCACAGAAATAAATTACATTTTAAAATAATTTAATAAAAAAATTAATTGATAAATAATAATTTAATCAAATGCAGCCTTGGTGAATATAAGAGACTTCAAAACCTTACTGACCCCAAACATTTGAACACTATGCATATTAATGGTTAATGTTGGTAGAATATGAAAGGATAATAATTTTGTGTGTGTTTGGGAATGTTTGTGTTCGTCAGGTTCTGGAGCGACTGCAGCAAAGAGGTTTTGAGATTGCTGCTTCTTGTGGAGGTGGTGTGGACTCAACCCAGTTCAGTGAGTACGTTCTGAGGAGAGAGATCAAACGAAGTCACCGTGGGGTCACGACCTCCGTCATTCGAATCAAACAGGAACCGCTGGATTAGCTGCCCGCTCTCAGAAACAATAAACTAGATATGGTATTTTTAACTGAATATAAGGGATGTTTTGATTTATGTTGTAATCCTCTGAGACATTTTTTCATTGGTAATGTCCCTAAATAAATCATTTCAAATAAGATAAAATAATGTTGAAATTCAAACGGGAACTTTTTCTGAATGTCTCTGGCTATACTGAGTGGTCTCCATTTGATTCTCTGTGTGAAGGTTTGTATTAAAACTTCAAGACTGCCAGACTGCACTTTTGCTGGATTTGTCAGCTAGGAGTGGAAGAGGCTAAAGTAATGTTACACTTTATATATGACATCCTGTAAAGAATTTCAGCTGCCATACTAATTTATGTTGCTAATCTTCAAGTGTTTCTCTCATAAATAGCATATCACACCAGAGAGGAATAGCAGCTCTAATTAGAAAAATACACACACATATAAAGGATAAATCACAGCTGTGGGTTTCTGAGGGATGGTATGACTAGACGAACCCTCCTTTTGTCAAACGCAGTCATGAAACTGAATGATCTGAAAGATTTCATTAAACAGTATATTTCCCCAACTGTTCTTCATTTTTTATCATTTTAACAGACAAGTTCAAATACAAAACTGTCAAGCCAATCTGACGAATTTATGCTGTAACTTGCAGTATTTTTTCTTTTAATAAATACTACACAAAAAAAATGAAGATTGATTTTTTTATCATAAATTTACAGTGTCTGGCTACACTTAAAACTGGTTTATAATCCACGAGATTAAAGTTTGAGAAGAATGTAATGTGACATTGTTAATAAAAGTTTTGAAAAATCACCAAGACTTGTTTATTAACATGGAAAATATGCCTTCAACATAACGCACAAGTTTCAAGGGATTGTCTTTAGACTTTATTTAAGCGAACAATACTGTCATTAAATTAACCTGCATTAATAAATGAATGCAACGGTGACAGGGGCTCGGGTATTAAACAATTTAGACAAGCTAGATGTCCTCTTGATACTGATGTTTTATTCGTGAATTAACTTAACTCTCGCGCGCTCATTGATCAAAACCTAAAACCAAATGGCATTCAAGTTAGCATTTTATTGGTTGGATCTATTGAATCAATACGCCCTTGACTGAACGAGTCAATTAAGATTTTTGAATCTAAACGAGATCCGGAAAAGCACTGAACGAAGCATCTCAATCATAAACGCTTGTTTCCCGTCATGAACGGCTCGGTGCTTTTAGCGAATCGGTTGAGTGATTCACTGACGCACACACACACACACACACACACACACACAAAGACATTCGCTTGTCGCCACCTGCCGGCGTAACTGTGTAGCGTACAGAAAGAGCCGACGAATCATGAATAGTTTTGAGGAATTCAAATGATTCGAATCCTTCGAATGAATGAAAAACTCCACCTCCAACTGTTAAAATGGCGAAAGTTGTATATTCGTCGCGTCGCCGGCGCATTTGTACATATAAATTTGATTATTCGACCATATAGATGGAAAAACGTTTCAGGTTTATTCTCTCTACCAAATTATTCAACCTGTGTTTAATACATCGTCAAAGTAGACTAAATAATGTCGGAAACATCGGGTTCAGATCAATTAGACAATGATCAGTCTCGCGCGCAAACAAAAAACGAAGAAAACAACAACGACGCGCAAAAAAGCAACATTGAGGAGTCTTTGGAAACTTCACAAACCACATTAGACAAGAAAAAAGAGGCGTCAGACTCCAACGTTAATGCTAACACCTCTGAAAACAGCAAACCAGATTTAGCTTCTCCTAATGGGGAAGGAGAACAGCCAAAACCAAAGACAGAGACTGATTTATCAAACTCTGCTAGTCTGCGGCCTGTAACAGTTATGAGCTCACCCTTATCTGAAGCTGCTCCAAAGGTCATAGCAGGCCCTGCACAGATCAGATCCACCACACCAGTGGTTATAGGGGCCAGGGTGGTGACGTCTAATGTTCAGGGACCAGGGGCCACCAGTTTGGCACTGGCTCCTCAGCCTGGAAGGGTCTCTGTTAGCTCCGTGGCCATAAGCCAGCCCAGGGTCACCACACTGACCACAGCCAAAGGGGCAGTCGTGACATTGCCAAGGATTTCCAACCCATCACAAAGTGTACCAATGACACGCACCCCTCAGACTGTGCCACTGCAGCTGCCTGCCAACTTCCAGGTCCCACAAGGTGAGTTTACGTGTGGATTCAGGATCCACGGTTTCTTTTCTTGGTCTGTTAGTGTATTCTAACTGTAATACTGTACTTAAGCATCAAGCCTACTTATCAGTCTTGGCGATGTCTTACTCTCTCTCCCCTGCCTCTGAAGGAATGGTGTTAATCCGCAGTGACAGCGGGCAGTTGATGTTGGTATCTCAGCAGGCTCTGGCCCAGGCTCAGGGAATGCTGCCAAAACCAGCAAGTGCCAATGCCTCTGCTATAGTTAGACCCCCATCCTCACAGGTGTGCTATTTTGGTCACTTATTTTTAATGCTGGGAATAAAAACAAAGATCCAGTGAGATAAACATATGATATTCAGACTATGGTCTTTGAGCCCCCAGTCTCACCAGAGGGACAAAATTGGGTCAGTGGACAATTTTCTTGTTTTATGCATATGCAGTTTTCAGATTTTTTTAAAATCTTTTTTTTCTTCACATTTTACGTATGTTTAGGCTATATGATTTTGATCATGAAAAGTGTCATACTAATACTTCATTTGAAATGTTATATATTCATTCATATTTTAAATATTAGCATTTGTCTGAAAATATTTATTTAATATTAATACAATTATATATTAATTATATAATATATTTTAATTGTGTTAAAAATACATATTTAATGCCAAATTAAAATTTTTTAGATAACATTTACATTTATTATGGTTTCTGCCACTTCATTTGAAATGTTATATATTCATTCATATTTTAAATATTAGCATTTGTCTGAAAATATTTATTTAATATTAATACAATTATATATTAATTATATAATATATTTTAATTGTGTTAAAAATACATATTTAATGCCAAATTAAAATTTTTTAGATAACATTTACATTTATTATGGTTTCTGCCACTTCATTTGAAATGTTATGGGTCAGTGGACAATTTTCTTGTTTTATGCATATGCAGTTTTCAGATTTTTTTAAAATCTTTTTTTTCTTCACATTTTACGTATGTTTAGGCTATATGATTTTGATCATGAAAAGTGTCATACTAATACTTCATTTGAAATGTTATATATTCATTCATATTTTAAATATTAGCATTTGTCTGAAAATATTTATTTAATATTAATACAATTATATATTAATTATAGAATATATTTTAATTGTGTAAAAAATCTCACAATTCAGACTTTGATTATTCAGACTCAGGATTGCGAGAAATAAGGTCCCAATGTGTGTGGTATGAAATTAGAAATGTGAGAAGAAAAGTCAGAATTGTGAGATAACTTGTAATTGCAAGAAAAAGGCCAGAATAGTGAGAGAAGTAGCAATTATCTTTTTAATTTTTCTATGTGTGGCAAAACGATTTACGAACAATTAGAAGTCAGAATACAGAGAAAAAAGTCCGAATTGTGAGAGAAATAGCCATATATATTTTTAAATCTTGTGGGGAAAATAGGCTAATTATGAAAAGAGCTAATTATGTTGGAAAAACTTAGTCTTTAATGCTTACTATTTGTCACAAAATAAATGCATCTGCATGCATTTGAAAACATGAAGCAGCCTTCTCTCACAAAGGAAGTTAACCATATTTGGCAGTCACTGACATTACCAAAAGCTTGAAAGGCCATCCTATAAGATATCTCTTACAAGTATTTGATTTATTATGGAAATGCACCACTTTATTTCATATATCTTTTTGTTTTTTACAGGCAACTGTAACCACTACACCAATCATCAGAGTTTCTTTCCCACCTTCCAGTGCATCAGCTACTACCAATATTAAACTTAACCCCACTACAGGGACTGCCGTTCAGAAACCACCCACCGCTACAGGGACTGCTATTTTCACGCCATCATGTACAACAGGAGCTACCATCATTAAACCAGCCGGTGTTATAGGGACAGCCATCAGAAAGCCCAGCTCTACCATGGGGCCTGTTATCAAAGCCAGTCAAATGACTCCAAACAGCAGCACACCGGGGACCTTTAACCAGAGGACTAATTCTGTCACTGCAACTACCATAATTAATACCTCTGCTGTAAAGGTATTACTCACTTTGGCTGCATCAATTATTGATCCAAACAACAAAACAAAAATAATGATTCATACTCTGACTTCAGGGCAAGATGTTGACTGAAATGCATTGTTAGCTTTCCCTCAGTGATTTAAATAGAAATGTAGGTCATTCAGTGTCACATTCATCTACCTAATCATGTCTATGCTTCATTTTCTCTGCAGTCTGTGGGCAAAGGTGCTCTCTCCACCCAGGGTAATGCCCCACGTATGGTGTCTCCTAATGTACCAGCCAGATCCAGCACAAACACATCATCAACCCCAGTCACTGTTACAGCTGTAAGTTCATGTTACAAGTTATGTGTTTACAGATACACAATTATTAATCCTGGAAAGCCTGACATATGATATAATATCAGAATTTTTTTTTTTTACAAGCTTTATACAAAATATTAAAAAACAAAAAAAATGTCTTATGATGTGGTACATCAGGCTTTTATGGTTTATATAGTATGATATAAGAGAATATGGAGCTTTCTGAATTTTATATACACAAAAGGTACACTGAAATTCTGATTGCTTGTAATGTAAATTTGTGATATTTTTATAACAATATAGCATATTTCTTGCAAAAAAAGCTTATAAATAACAGTTGTCACTCTATATCTCCCATTAATATGCCTTTGATATTAGATATTTAAATGCTCAGTTTTGTTATCAAAAGCTCTGTAGTTTAAAGCATGGGGCAGAAGAACATATAATGCAGTGTAATACTATGGTGATTGAGAGAAGATTAAATAAAGATTCCTCAAAAGCCTGACGTAACATATTTGATATGACAAAAAGGTGATTAACAAAAAGGTAAGGATAATCAATATTTTTGATTAGTTTTTAAAAATTAACTGAGGTTAGGTGATCTAAAAGTACATTTTGATATTTAAAATTAAATATCCAGTATTAGCTGATATCAATGTTTTTTAAATATTTTCACTATGTGCATCACAAAACTGATCATGTTTCATTTTCTTTATCATCAGGAGACCTTGGAGAATGTGAAGAAGTGTAAAAACTTTCTGGTCACTCTTATGAAGCTAGCATCGAGCGGCACTCGCTCTGCCAACATGGCTCAGAACGTCAAAGCTCTTGTCAAAGGCCTGCTGGTATGATGTCACTTGCTGCTTTTAAAATCAATATTTTAGAATACATTGTGTTTTAAAGGGCTTTTGTTTTCTTCTCTACATGTAGGATGGGAAACTAGAGGCAGAGGAGTTTACTGAAAAACTCTATATGGAGCTCAAATCATCCCCTCAGCCATATCTAGTGCCTTTCCTGAAGGTGAATGCAGTTAAAACTCATTTAGATATTACCAGCAACTTCAACAAAGTCATATGGGTATATATATGAGGGCGCTGACCTCATTTTTGACCTGATTTTAAGATGAAATCTATTATCAGACCTTCATAGCTCATGTATGAATGAGACGCGGCCTCTTTGGTATGAGCTAAATTAGAGACATACAAGCAGAGATGAATGTATTAATTCTTTCAGAGGAGCCTGCCAGCTGTCCGTCAGCTCACCCCAAACTCGCAGCTCTTCATTCAGCAGTGCGACCAGCTCAAGCCCTCAGATTCAGCACCAACCAAGGCCGCAAACCAGAAGTCCACTGTGTCTGTCAGCTCCTCCCTCAAGCCCAACCAGCCAACCAGAATGGCTCAGCTGGTAAGCCCCGGCCCATTTTTAGTCCCGGCAATGTAATTAATCATGATGATTTCAGGGGTTTGCCTATATGAAACAACGGAAGAGTAATTTGATAATAAGGAAAACAAATGATCATTCAGTGGTGGTGTTTTCACCATGGAAACAACTCTGGATGTGCATTGTTTTAATGTTAATCTGCAGGTATGAGTTCTCTATCAATAGTTAGAATACCATATGGTGTCTGGAATTCAGGTATGTGTGTTTGGGGATCCTGAATACACTGTTTTGATATTTTATGTAATAGTAGACTGTGTGTGTGTGTGTGAGAGAGAGAGTGAAACACTAATTTCACACTGCCTCCTTCCCAGCACACTGGTTCATTTTTATGACAGCCTCTCTTCACTTTGTCTTCATTTCCTGGTTAACTCACCACCGCCCACGGTGTACAGGCTAATTCACTTAAAACCACCAGTATCCCACAAGCCCAAGCAGAGCCAAATTAGTTTTACACTAGAGACAAAGATGCATGAGTCTTACCCCATTTCTTACCAAGAATGTCATGTTATCATATTCAAATAATGTCATGATTTGTTTTTCTGTAATCTAATATCACCATTTTATTGGACGTCTTGATGGATTTCCACTGAAATACAGAAGCTCATTTCCCATATACCTGAATAGACTTTAGAGGTTTTGATTACTTCAGAATCAGAAAGTGCTCTGATGGTTTGCAGAAAGTGCTCTACAATGGTTTCTACAATGTCCTCGAGGTGGACTAAACCCAGCATACCTTTGAATATTTTATGCATAATTCTTGCATCTTTGCTGTATTTACTTAGAAATGCTGTCTTCGTGTTGATTTTGTTTTTACCTTGTCAGGTGATCCAGCAACCTAAAGGAGTAATCGTCAAACAGTCTTTGACATCAGCTCAGATGGGCTTACCTGCACAGAACCAAACTCAACCCAAACAGATGCTCATTCAAACCAATGCTCACCCAGCAGGTATAAGCTATAGTTTCACCATTCAAAAGTTTGAAGTCAGTACAATGTTTTTGAAATAAGTCCCTTATGCTCATCAGGGATGTTTATATTTAATCAAAAATGGAGTTAAAACAGTTCCAGGTCCCGTTTGAAGTTCCATTATTGTCTGGCAACTTAATATACTGGAGAGTAGATTTTTTTCTCTTGAAACCCTCCCAAGCAACTTGTGCTGATGTTGGTGCTGTTACATATATTTTTGAGGCTTTCTGACACCAAGACTCAACTAATTCCTGCAATTTTCCAGATGTGATCCTTGGAGAGTCTTTGTCAATTCAAACTTTACACCTCACCGTGCATTAGGATGATATAGGCACATTTCCTCTTCCAGGCAGATCTGCAGTTGATTGGATTGTCTTAATTATTGCCCTGATGGTGGAAATGGGCATTTTTTTAATGCTTTAGCTATTTTCTCACAGTCACTTTCTATTTTGTAAAGTTCAACAATCTTGTGTAGCTCATCCGAACTCTATTCTTCAGTTTTACTCATTGTGATGGATAATTAAGGGAATTTGGCCTTTGTGTAACCTCATATTTATACTCCTGTGAAAACGGAAGTAATAGCTGGACATTTACATGTACAATATGGGAATGGGAATATAGTTTATTATACATATTTTAGTCATAAAAATTTCTAGGGGTGCATGTATTGGGGGAAAAACATTTATTTCATAATGTAATTTGACATTTTACATTAAATGTCCCCCCCCCCCACACACACACACACCTTTCAATAGTTTTACCCCAATGAAAGGTTCGATTTATTTATTTATTTCTTTTTTTTTTTTTAATGAATGAAAGAATTTATCATAGCATCCTTTGCACATATTTTACCAAAGGGCATATAATTCTGACCTCAACACATAGGCACTTCCATTAAACTGCTGATCAATGAAACCCAATGAAACAGCCATATATATAATGCAACAGTTCTTTCTAGTCCTCGAATCTCGTGGACCTTTCCCAATCACCCCCTGGCTGTCATAATCTATACATAGATAGATGGCTGTTTTCAATGTAATGTTAAAATTGAACAATATTATAAATGAACATTAATATATTTTTTTTAAATTGAATTATTAGATTAATTCCTAAAGATACATGTGTTGGTCCCAACAAGCTTTTTTTGGCTTCTAGGTTTTTGTTGGTAGATCTCATTGAGTTTGTCATTTGAAAAGTAGATCCCCGCACAAAAAAGTGTGGGCACCCCTGCTCTGCACAATACAGTGAGCTTCTAATACAGTAATACAATTAGCTTTTAATGAAGCAACTCGGCATTCTTTAGTTACTAGTTCTAAAGTGACATTTTGTAATTAGTAACGGAGGCTTTGGGCTCAGCTGTTAAACTGTCAAACTGAGATTTGAACCTGTGGCGGAAGGAAATAGTTCCACTGCAAAAGAGGGTTTTTAAAGACACTCCATTGTTGTCTTTTTTTTTTTTACACACTTGTGCTGTCGAACTGTTGTATAAACACAATATCACACTTGTAGCGGTGCAATATGGCTGTATATCAGCTCCCTATCAGCTGATATACAGCCATATTGCACTGCAACTCATGTGATATTGCTCATATATATGTGGGTTACATGAACGTCGTTTTGATCAAAGCTCAGTATACTGAAAGACTAGGTGAACTTTTATTACTTTTGTGCTTCTTTCACCTCCAAGTGTCCCAATTCATTTCAGGCTGATAAAAATATCTGTATTTTTATTCTGTCCCCACAGGTGCTGTTGTGCGGCAGTCCATCCTTCAGGCATCTAGAACACACTTTTCCCAGCCACCCCTTCCAGCTCAGGCACACGGCTTCAAGGACAGCACCTCGGGCTCTTTCCGGTAATAGCTCTGACTTGCGGCCATTCGCTGCTGCACAGCGAGTGAATGTGCATATTGGTTCTTTATAGGATGAATTTGAATAGAAGGCAGTCAATGTCGCTATAGATTAAGATTTCTAGATGAGCTATACCATTAGCATATTCATTTTAAGACAAAAAAGTGAAATCCTGTCCTTTCGTTTTCTTGACGGACTTTCATTTAGAGATGATGATGACATTAATGATGTGGCCTCCATGGCCGGCGTGAACCTGAGTGAGGAGAATTTTAAACCACATAAACACATTTCATTACACCAAATACACAAAATAATGTTCTTTTTAGCAGCATCATATGACCCCTTTAAATGCACGTTAGGCTGCATCAAATAGCAATTACTAACTTGCATATCAAATATGATATTGCCACTCACCCTAAACCATTTTGTTGTTGTTTTTTTTGGCTGGTTTTCAGTTAGTCAGCTGGTCAGCCTTAGGGAAAAGCTTGCAGACCAGCTAAACCAACTGAGCACCAGCTTGTTCAATTTGACGGAATAGCCCATATTATATCAGCTAAGACTAGCTTAAACCTGCTAACAACACCAAACCAGCTGTTTGGAAAAAAAAGGACTTTGAATGTAAAGCAAATGCCAGGCAGCGCACTTCCAGTTTAGAGCAAAGAGTGTCTAAAAGTGTGTGAAAATGTAATACAAAAGAGTCTTAACGAATTGCTTTTCATGTACTGTAATTAGTTGCTAATTAGTAACTCGATATTGCATAATTATTTAAAACTAACATTCCTGAACGCTGTATTCCTCCATTTTTTACTGACCTCAGCTACAGCAATAACAGCTTTTTTTGTACTTCAGTGTATCTTTACTCAAAGTGATATTGCATTTCCCTCCATCTCTGTTTGTCAAAGTCTGTTCGCCTCCCTCAGCTCTGCCTCTACGGCATGCATCCTGTCTGTGTTTTTTTTGGGCATATGTTGCGCTGTGTTGTGACACACGAGTGCAGTCTCTGTCTTTGATCAGTGGTATCTCTGACGAGCCTGTTCTGCTTAATCAGTATGCTAATGACTGCTGAGCCGCGCAAAGTTGCCAGAGTGGCAGGAATCCACTCTGCTGCACTGATCAAAAAAGCGTCAGAACAAGGGAGAGAAAGGACGACAGAGGCAGAGAGAGGGAGATAGCCAGGAGATAGGGGGATTCGTGCGGAGGAGGAGGAGACGAAAAGAGAGAATGTGGAAATAAAAGAGACAGGCTTGTACTCGCAGGAACTCGGTCCGCATCAACAGAAAGGGCAAAAATTAGATGGAATTGGAGTGTTTGCAGATGTCTGTCTACTCAGCAAGCGTAACAGACCAACAGGAACAAAGCATGTCTGACATTATGGAAATGTGAATATAATATAAACAGCGGAGGAAAACAACAAAATCTCTGGATTCCAGCTCGATGAAGACATTTGCCTCTAATTTTACACAATCTCCATTTCCGTCAGGCAGTAAATAGATCTGTACAAATGCTGAATTAGAGGGGGATTCATGTGATTCTTGAAGAACTGTCTGTGATTATCAGGCCCACACACAATCTGTGCCCACAGAACTTGAATGTGCCATTCACAAAGTTGAACCCATTTCCCGCATCTGACACGTTAATACATTTAAGCTAATTTGATTATGCGTTCATCTACAAATAAGAGTGAATTATCTCAACTCCATTTAACATTTTACCACAGCACATTTTCCCCCTTTAAAAATTGCGACACTGCCTGGGAATTTACTTTGAAATTGAAATTGGGTTCTGTTGACACTTGTATCGAATGAGGTATGAATGTTTTAAATACAGTCCTGAAATGTATAAATGACTTCAGTTGGGTGTGTGAAAATAATTATTCACTGGTTTATCTTTATTCTTGCTCTGCAATTCTGGATTGATCCACAAGTTACGAATTAGCTTTTTAAATTAATTATTTATTAATCTTGTCATTGATAACATTCAGATAAAATCAGACAGTAGAGCGAGTGCTTCTCCCATGCTAGGACAACAACTAAACGTGTGATTGTGTGTGCATAGGTGGATCTTTGAGTATCACAGAGGTCTGTCCTGATGTTCTTGAACTGCTCTCTCTGGCGACACAAGAGAGGCTTCGGGACCTGCTGGAGAAGATAACCATTGTGGCACAACATCGACAGATTTCTTATAAGGTATCCTTGCCTATAAAACACAGTAGACAAAATAATTGAGAAAACAGAAAACTTTCAGAATTTCTTAGTAAAGCTTGTTTCTTGGTTTTAACTACTGTGTACTTACCATTTAAATTAGTCAATTGATACAGTACATTGTGTACATTCACATTTTTACATTGTACTTTTACATTGTACCTTTCTGTAATCACATCTGTAATTATTTTCTTACATCTGCAATTACACTGTTGACTCTACCTCACACCTTAAACCTAATCATACTACTTAACCTGTCCCTAACCTTAACCGTATCCCACCTCAATAGCAGCAAAAGTGTTCTGTAACTCAACATTAACACAATTGGTACACTACCTAAAATTACATTTTGACATGCGTACATAGTAGTTAAAGACACTATGTCTTAATGTGGGACCAAAACTTTGGGTTCAGAGAAGATGGCAAAATTGATCCTTATCATGCAGCATTTATCAGTGCAATTTGATATTATATCAATCTTTCTAGAACGACTAGAGAGTTGTTAAATACTGTTCATTTTAGACATCACCTAGGCTGCATAATCAGGGTATCTTCCGTCCATTCGTTTTTAAATTTAATATTAAAGGGGTCATATGATGCTGCTAAAAGAAGGTAGGTGTGGCTGACTCTTAACTTTTATAAAGAATATCTCTTTGGATTTGAGACTTTAGTCTTTGCAACTTTACAGATCTTCTTTATGCACCAAGAGCTTGTAACACTCCAAAGAGAAAGGAAAAATTGAAATCGCATCATATGACCCCTTTAAAAACAGAAAAATAAGAAAAAGCTTTCTTTTTTTTTAATGAAAAAACAAGAATTCTGCTTGATTTTTCGTTTTTACGTTCAGGGCTAGAAAATGAATAAATGGCTTGAATATTCAATCTTTACATGTGGGCGGGAACGAAACGCTCCTTTCCGCTGATTGGTCAACCAAACATTAAACCGTACCGTCATCAGTCGTTCCCCAGTTCCACGCAGCATAATAACAATCCTCCGCTGCTACAGTTGTATGGATTCTTAACGCGTTTATTGCAGCTATATTTCATAACTTTCTCATCAGACAACCAGACTAATGAATGGCTCACGAATAGCCCGTACAGGGGCAGAGCCTAGACAGGGCTTAGCCTACTTCTGTGTAGGCATAAATTCGGCAACCTGCGCGAGAAATATTAGTTTATTTCATAGCCTAATTATTATTTTACTTCCCATCTGCACCCACAGCTACCCCCGAACCTACATCTTTGGCACATCGCCTGTTTTATTGAGCTGACATATCAAAGTTCGTGTGGCAAAGCCACGCGACCACTGATCTAATGGAGTGCGCGCGACGCACTGGACAGCATTCTGCACTATAGTGGAGCGCAGATTATCGATTTAAGTGTAAAACCTACGCAGCAGTCATAGCTTTTGTTTTAAGCAATACGCTGAGTTTATCTCATTAATATTGAGTATTAAATGATGTCTCAAAATATGGTGTTTTAATTTTCTCTGCCAAACGAGGCAAAGACACAGAACTGCTGAGAACCGACTGACTCCCATCTTAAGGCACAGAGTGGTGTTTCCTTGAGTGAGTGATTTAATTACCCATTAGTATAGAAAGCCACTTGATTCTTATTCCAGAATGAATCAGCTTTTTGAGCGATTCGGTTGAATGGATGACTCATTCATTAACACAATGAGTTGCCGCCACCTACTGGCGATAATAGGCTACTTTCATACTCCAAGTATCATTTCATTTTGTCATTCGTTATATATTTTTGCATTCAAAATTGTTAAGTTTAAAACATTAATCACATTACATTATGCAATTGTAATTGGTGTGTAAATGCATTTACTTCCTTCTGGGCAACATTAACACGTAAATACATCGAAAATCAACTTCAGATGCAGCTTCTTTGTCACCTGTGCAAAGATGGCTTTGGTTGATACTGATTTATCTGGTAACAGCCTATGGTGTCACATTATTCTAAGTAACTAAATTTAAGAATGTAACATACATACATACATATTTAATACGAATAGAAAAAAAATCCTATATGTAAAAAATACCCCTGAAAATCAGTTGCCTCTTTTAGCAATTAAATGCTTAAATAATCTTATCACTAAATAAATAAATAAAACTTATTGTTCAAAGTGTTATTTCAGGGTTTTAATATCTTCTTGTAACTGAGAGAGCACTATATATATACACATATATATATATGTATATAGAGAGAGAGAGAGCGAGCGAGAGAGAAAGAGAGAATAATAATAGTTGTGACCATAAACTACACTGATTAAAATCACATACATATTTAATACGAATAGAAAAAAAATCCTATATGTAAAAAATACCCCTGAAAATCAGTTGCCTCTTTTAGAAATTAAATGCTTAAATAATCTTATCACTAAATAAATAAATAAAACTTATTGTTCAAAGTGTTATTTCAGGGTTTTAATATATTCTTGTAACTGAGAGAGCACTATATATATACATATATATAGAGAGAGAAAGAGAGAATAATAATAGTTGTGACCATAAACTACACTGATGCATAATAATCATATCAATGGCATATCTATATCATTTCAATTTTATCCCTTGTCCAAAACTCAGCATATTGCTTAAAACAAAAGCTATGACTGCTGCGTAGGTTTTACACTTAAATCGATAATCTGCGCTCCACTACCGTGCTGAATGCTGTCCAGTGCGTCTCTATTAGATCAGTGGTCACGCGGCTTTGCCACACAATCGATAATCTGCGCTCCACTACCGTGCTGAATGCTGTCCAGTGCATCTCTATTAGATCAGTGGTCACGCGGCTTTGCCACACAAACTTTGATATGTCAGCTCAGTAAAACAGGCGATGTGCCAAAGATGTAGGTTCGGGGGTAGCTGTGGGTGCAGATGGGAAGTAAAATAATTATTAGACTATGAAATAAACTAATATTTCTTGCGCAGGTTGCTGAATTTATGCCTACACAGAAGTAGGCTAAGCCCTGTCTAGGCTCTGCCCCTGTTCGGGCTATTCGTGAGCCATTCATTAGTCTGGCTGTCTGATGAGAAAGTTATGAAATATAGTTGCAATAAACGCGTTAAGAATCCATACAACTGTAGCAGCGGAGGACTGTTATTATGCTGCGTGGAACTGGGGAACGACTGATGACGGTACGGTTTATTGTTTGGTTGACCAATCAGTGGAAAAGAGCGTTTTGTTCCTGCCCACATGTAAAGATCGAATATTCATTCGCCATTTATTCATTTTCTAGCCCTGAAGGAAAAAACAAAAAATCAAGCAGAATTCTATGGGCGGAATACGGAATTCTGCATGGGCAGGAATAATAACATAGCCCTGTAGTCTTTTAAAAAAAGCCAAGTATTAACTAATTTGATGATGCTGCGTAAAAAAAAATCCAATAGAAACTTTCCATAATGTACAGTTTTTTCCCACAAAATAAGATTTTAAAATGAGGTATTTATCAGCTTTAATGCACTTATCAAGATAACAAAAGCAGTCAAAATTGTCAAAAGTATATTCAAAATGTATCATTTAAATTTTCTTGCATGCGAGTATTGAACAAATTGTTGTTAACCTGTCTCAGAGGAAAATGTCATGTTTTATGGCTTTTTTTAAGGAATAATAAAAGACTTCTTTTCAGCAGTGTGATGGGCTGTTTTTGGAATCAGCACCGCAAAATAGTCAAATCTATGCTATGACTTGATCTTAATATGCTTGCTCCCCTATTATGTAGTACACAAAGAACAGTATGTAAAATGATGACCTACTACCTCCCCTCCACTGAGATTCCAAAGTGCACATCAAATGGACACTTAACTATCCCATAAGGCCATGGGAGAGGAATTGTGAATGACACTGAAGCGACACAACTGATACCTCAAGTCACATGACAATGTTGTACATCCAGATAAAATTCATATTACACGCATTCATATAGAACATACTTTTTAAAAAGGCTGCAAAGTATGTGATTTTGGATTGAGTTATTGTTTTAGGCAACTATTGTTTTCCCAGAATTACACTGCAATATGGATGTAAAATGGGTAGTTAATGCTGTTTCATGTTGACTTGTATAAACCAATGTGTACCACAGTCTCAAATTTGTGTCTTGTCGTACTCTGTTTTCTGTGGTGTGTGTTTCCTGTGGTGAGGATGATTGGCGCTACAGTCAGACCAATGACACGCGCTCTCAGCTGAAGTTCCTGGAGCAACTGGAAAGACTGGAGAAACAAAGGAGGGAGGAAGAGGAGCGAGAAGCCCTGCTCCGCATTGCCCGGGTAACTAGCAGACACAACAAAAGAGGAGAAAAGCACCTGGAATCAGTCTCCATTTAAAATGTACAGTTTTTTTCCCCTCTATTTGCGTGTAGAGTCGCACAAACAGTGAAGACCCAGAGCAACAGCGTCTGAAACAGCGAGCCAAAGAGGTAGAAGGATTTCTGTGTGTTGGTGTTAATAAAAAGACATACGTCCCTCTTCCACAACCTGTTTTTCATTCCTTCTGCTCCCTTGTATAGCAATGAGGACGATCAATACTCTTCATAAAGTCCCATTTGTGCCCCACATAGACAAATCCACACACATACATACACATACCCTGGAGACAAAGCTCTCTAATTGGGGGCCCATTTTAATTGAGTCTAATATTGGGTCTGGAATTGAAGCCTGCGGCTAAACAGGGAACAGAATGTAATGAAAGCCCTCTGGATGAGTTGTGTGTCTGTTTACAAGGTAGCGCTCATCTAGTTGTGTGTTAGAGAGCACGTAACATGTTTGTGTGTTTTTGCACAGGCCTCCGACTTGGGTTCTTTGTCATAGTCTATCGGTAAAATCAATAGTGCTAAAATGAAAGATTCATCACCAATAACAGCTTTCCGTTTTTTTTAGTTTTTTTTACAAACATTCCATGTGGATTTGGGTGAGCCAATGGAAATATTGATTTTATTTTTGAGTGCCTGTCAAGCGCACATTCTCTCTTTTTTTGCCCTTGTTTAGATGCAGCAGTTGGAGTTGGCACAGATGGAGCACAGAGATGCAAATTTGGCAGCGCTGGCAGCCCTGGGGCCACGTAAGAGGAAATCTCTGGAGGTTCCTGGCTCAGGGGCCAACCAGGTACCTGCACATGTCTATACAGTCACCTCTGTTCAGAGTTTTCCTGTATACTGTCTTAATACTTCATTCTGTGCAGATGTGCAGGAAATGTTTACATATGTGTTCAAAATCAATCACATATATAAACAGTCTGTAGAACAGAGCTTTTGGTCATTTTTATATTTCTGTCTGTACTTAGACAAGCTGTTTTGGTTTTTATTAAGTACATGTGTAAGGCTTCCTGTGTGGCTCTATGAAATTACGCATTTGCTCTTATGTCACTGAAATATTAGTAAACTCCTTTAGAAAGGGAATTGGTATATTGTGTTTGAGGACACCACTAACTGTCGACCAAACACATCAATCTCTTTGATTGACTTTTTCATGCTATAAAATCAGTTGATACTATGCCATTCAGAGATTGAGTCGGTAAGATTTTTTTGAAGAAGCTAGTACTTTTATTCAGTAAAGATGACAGTAAAGACGTTTATAATGCTGTTATTTTGTACTTTGCTCATCAGAAATTGCCGAAAGAAAATGTATCTTTTCCACAAAAATATTAATCAGTACAACTGTTTTCAACATTGATAATTATAAGAAATGTTAATAATAAAAATCACCATATTAGAATGATTTCTGAAAGGTTCATGTGACACTGAAGACTGGAGGAATGATGCTGAAAATTCAGCTTTGCATCACAGGAATAAATTACATTTTAAAATATATTTCAACAGAAATGTATTTAAAATTGTAATTATATTTCACAATATTACTGTATTTTGATCAAATAAATGCAGCCTTGGTGAGCATAAGGGACTTTCAAAAACAGGTAAAAAAAATCTTACCAACCCCAAACGTTTGATGGTAATGTACTGTTTATGCCTAAAGGGGAAGGACTTAACTTTATCTGTAATATACCGGGTGGTATTGTTAGTGATTTTATAAAATATATGAGAAAAACAGGACAAGGAAAGACTGAACAAAAGACCAGAGGATTTTGTTAGTTTAGTTTAATTAGTTTTTACATTTGTGAATTATTTTTCCTTTAGGCAGTGAGGAATGCTAATAAGTGAAAAGATGGTTTTGAGTTTTTGTGTGCTTAAATTACACAGGCCTTTTAGAAAAAACTCCTCTGCCTAGGGAAGTTTAGTGTTTGCCTCATTTTGAGGTTTCATCTCTAGTAGAATAAGCATCTCTATAAAGAGCCAGTGCAGTTAGCAGGAAAAGTACGGAGGTTAAAAGATGCCAACCTTGTGTTTCCAAAGTTAAATTATCTGCAGCAGCATTTATTTGTTCATGTCTATATGTATGCCTAAATCTTTCTCTTTATTATACTGTAATTAAGGTGAGTTTATTCTGATTGATTGAATGATTTCTCAAAAGGATAATGAACTAGGCCTATTTTTAGCTCCCCTTGTGAAAAAGCACTTAATTATATTGATTGTGCACGAGTAGTGTACTTCAAAGTATATTTAAGGGTGCTTTCACACTAGCACTTTTGGTGCGCACCTGAGTTTGATTGACGCCAGAGTTCGATATGTTTGGATGATGTGAACACTCTCTTCTGAACTCAGGTGCGCAACCGCGAACCGTACCACGGTTCAAGTGAACTCTGGTATGGTTCATTGCTGATGTGAACACAATCATACCAAATCACGGAAGTGAACCGCTATTAATGACATATTATTTGATAAAAATGTGTGTTTGTGTGTGTTTCACTCGCTTTCCTGACGAGCGTGACTGACTCGCTGCAAGCAGAGAGCTGTATATCTCATTTCTATTTGCCTTTATTGTTCTTTAGGGCATTTACAGTACATTCGTAAGACAGACGTCATTGCCGTTACGTACTGAAGCTTTGGAAACAAAACAAACCGTTCAAATATATAAATATATAAAAGTGAAGAGAGCAATGTTATGCATTTTGCCGCCTTCTCCTGTGCCGTCGTTACTATGGGGTAAACAGCTGTTGGCTTGATGATGCAAACGAACCGTGATTCTGACCCAAATAAAATAATATGAACACAGTCCAGTGGGGGCAGGGGGAGGGGGGAGCAATCGAACTCTGGTTCGGACCAAGCAATCGAACCAAGGGTGAAAGCACCCTTAAAAAAAACCTGTAATTTCAACTGTATTGTACTGTACTGTTGTATTAAATAAAAGGCCACTTAAGTGTACGTAAATAAGTTTTACACACCTTTTAACAGAAGACACTTAGTTATTCTTTTAAACAGTGCACTTTACCATTTCAATGTAAGCTTTATTTTAAATCAATGTTTTAATTTTTTTGACTAACATACTAAGGCACATGTAAATTACTTCATTATACTGTAGTGATATTCGATACACAGATATATATAGAGAGTTAACATTTTAAATTTGATCATTTTTTTTAAAAATAACTTTTTTTTTTACTAAATTGCAACTTCAATGCAAATGTGTAATATTTTTTTAAATACTGTTTAATATAGTATAATGTTTTAATATAAATGAAATTATATTTTAATTTATCATAAATGTTTGTCAGTGTATTTGGCAGGACACTTTAATCCTTTTATCCAAGATAATAGTGGAATAATCATAATTAATTATGAAACAACATATGAAGATGTACTTAAAGTGATGTACTTCAGTTGCTGGTCCCCATTATCTTGCATATTGTTTTTTTTCTCCGTACTATAGAAGTCAAAGGGGACCAGCAACTAAAGGTGAATTATCCCTTTAAGTTCTACTTAATTGGGTCAGAAAATCACTCTAAAGTTTTTATTTAAAGTCTGCATGAAATCAAAATCTACAATATTTGTTTTGTTAGCGCGCATTGTTGGTCTTAAGGTGAGCAATTAATCCGTGCAAGTTCATCTTTTGCTTCCGCTCCAGAATGGCACTTTTGCTCTGATGTCAGTTTGACGGCTTGGGCAGAATTTGCTTAACCACACCCAGAGCCGATCCTCCCTATACGCAAAATACGCAAGCTGCATAGGGCCCCCTTGCTCTTAAAGATTAGTTTTTGAATTTGGCCAGCGGTTATGAAAACATGAATGGTCATTTCTTTTAATGCGGTGCGCTGTCGCCCTATCTACGTAAAATCATGTAATGTGAATGTCGTACAGTCTTGCTCGAGACTAAAAAAACAGTTGAAAACGCAGCCGCGGAAGAGACACTGTTTCTCAAGCACTTTCCACGAGCGCGATTCGAGACTGAGTGAAACATGGACAAATGCGTTTCATACATTCGTTCATAACCACTCATACCCCCCGCGTCCCCCAACATAGTTTTGCGTAGGGCCCCCAGAAGTCTAGGATCGGCGCTGACCACACCCCTCCAACCATTAGTTTGCTGCTAGTGAAAGATGAGAGGAGGAGTGCAAAAATAAAACCCCGCCCTCTACTCAATATTCTGTTTCAGGTGGAAATACGTCACCATACTGAAATAAAGTCGGCAGCAACTTTCGGTTCACACACTTTGACAATTTGACTTTAATAACGTTTGTTAATTAAATTAAATTTAAACTATAATACATTTTCATTTATTTGCAACTAACATACGTACAAGTGTACTAAAGTAATATCAGTGTAAGTATACTAAAGTGTACTTATTTTTCACTATGATTTTGTGATGATATCAAGCAGGTGCTATTGTTTTATCATGAATTATTTCAAAATTGATTTCATATGAGAAAAATCATTTAGGTCATGTGGCTCAAAAAATTATTCTTTATGTCTGTCTGCCCAGTTGTTAGGTTCATGTGGGCAGTTTGCAACTCGAGCACCGATTCGAGTCACTTTGAGAGATCTGACCTTCTGCATGGAGCAAGACCCCACATTCAGACATACTCTCATGCTGTATAGAGCATTTCTAGGCTAGATAACCACACAAACGCACAACTTCTGAGGTATGTGCTGTGTTTGGGAAAAGTTCTTTAGATTACATACTTTACCATTGTTCAAAATGAAACTGTTTTTGTTATATTTCTGTGTTCCTATCCTTCTTTTGATGACTGAATTAACTGTTTATATATCTTGACTAGTAAGTAAGCACAAAGGAATAAATTAAACACTATTAGCAGCAACACCGTGTGTGGATCTTGTATATTTGAACTGCACAGTTGTGTATGTTGTCCAAATTCCCAATATTAAATTTTTTTTCTCCTTACAAATTACCTTTTTCTGCTGATACAGTCATGCTGAACTTTTGCTGCTCTAGTTGTTTGGGGATTGTACAGAGGTCTGTGTATAAGCTCCGGGCAGTGGATGCCCTGAACAGAACACCACTATCCAATCACGCATATACAGCCTTAGGCATCCAAATCCACCAATCACAGCGAGACATTGGCCGAGAGAACAGTACTGACCAATCAAAGCAGGATTTTTCTTCAGAGCCCAATTCAACCAAAATCATTTTGAGACTGACCGACCAATCAGATCATGACACAAGAACTAGAGTGGACCAGTAGAAAGTACAAACAGCCAGAGGGTCTGAAGCTGAAAGAAACAGGACAATAGATAGCCTCAGAACTCTTGTGCAACAATATCAAGATAACCAGGGCCAAAATCAACAGATCAGGGGCAGGATGTCTCTCATGATTAGCTGCTGACCGATCATCACTCTTAAATGATTTAAACCGAGGTTAAATAAAGGGTAACCAACAATGTCATAATTCTAGAGTTTACCTCTGTTCATTAGCATCTCCAGTCTTCCTCAGCTGTCATGCATGCCTTTGCATTTGTAAGTTGAATGGACGTTCTCAAAAAGAGCCGCTTCTAATGTATGCCTCGCCTCAGCCTCAGAAACTTAAATACTCTGTGTGCTTGCCTGAGGTACAGGATTCTGAAATATTCCATTACCTCTGAATAATCATGAATGAGAAGCTGGGAGCTAAATATTGATATGCCTGCAGCATTCACAGTCCCTTCAGAGAGTGCGAGCGCATGCTATTCAGAGGTACACAGCCTCGCATGCCAATACGGGCTTAGGAAAGTAAGTGAATGTAGCAAAGAGAGATTTTTACGCACAGAATGTGCCTAAAAATGTATACATTACATGAAACACTTTTTATGAAAGACTTTATTTTGATTCATCTCATTGATTTAAATCTGTTTACCAAAAAGATTTACTCCGATTTGTTCACCCAGTTGTTCAATTTACATTGTCATACCTGTGGGTGATTACAAGTGATTTTCTTTTTGAGTGTTAGAATGAGTCACTAGCACATTGCTGCTGAAGTTGCATTCAAGTACCACACTACCATCAAACCATTGAAATCTATTGTGCGTAAAGTCACAATTCAATTAAAGGGATAGTTCACCCAAAAATCTAAATTTTCCAAACTCGTAAGACCTTTGTTCATCTTCAGAACACAAGTTAAGATATTGTTGATGAAATCCGAGAGCTTTCTGATCCTCCATAGACAGCAATGTAACTGACATGCCCAGAAAGGTAGTTCAAGGTCCAGAAAGGTAGTAAGGACATCGTTAAAATAGTCCATGTGCCATCAGTGGTTCAACCGTAATATTATGAAGCTATGAGAATTTTTGTGTGCAAAGAAAACAAAAATAAAGACTATACAACAATTTATTCTCTTCTGTGTCGAAAGTACCACGACGTGGTAGTACCCTTGCTGTCAGTAAAAAAATTTTTCCTTTTTTTTTTTAAACAGACTGGTGCATTTTCAGTCGTACTAAAGTGTTGGGAGACATTTAAAAAAAAAAAAATGTTTAGTCCGACTGAAATCAAACTTCTAAAGTGCATGTAAACATACTTAGCAGTGACTCAGACTGAGGTTCTCAAGTCAAGGATGTTTGACGTCAGTATTTCACGGTCCTGCATGCTGACTAATGCATAAACACTTCGTGTTCGCTGGACTCATTGAACAGGCAGTGAAATTGTTCCAGACTGCAGCTCTTCAATTAATTATTGATTGGATCATCATCTGCATGCGCTGCTAACTGCCTCAGATCAAAGGCACACAGAGTATGTGTGCGTTCTAGGTTTCCGTTCCTCTCACAGCACGTCAAATGGAGGAAGACGTAGGTAATTTACCCGTCATTATTATGCAGGAGTGCGCTCGTGAAAACAAATATGTTTTTAATGTTATCCGAGGCTTAGTCTAGTCTCCATTCATACACTTGGGCACACAAGTCATTTTCCATCCCAAACCGCCCGTTCCAAAACTCCTCTCAGGCAGAACAGCTGACCATTGTAAACAACATTTGAACCCATTGAGTTATTAAAGCCCCATTCGGACGGGACTGCTTCTCCCTGAGGTTAGCTGAGGTAAAAGTGGTGTCAGAGTTAAACATGTACATGTTATTGTCACACAAGTAATAATATTAAGAAAGTAACTCCTTTTTGGCCGATACAGTATAAATGTAATCATGTCAGAAATTACGTCCGTGATTCTGCTAATGTATTTTCATCTTTCAGTGGTTCTTGAAAACTGGGAACGTTTATGCATCACGAGTTGTTTTGGATTGATCTGTTGGGATGCATCTCCTGCTCCCCGTCAAAAGGAGGCTGTATTAAAGGCAAATGCTGCTAAAACGCCTTAATTATGTGCGTGTGTATACACATACACACACACCTTAGTAACAAGTAGCCTACATGAAATTACATACATCCCATAATAATACTGTAAATCAAAATCATTTACTACTACCTGTTCCAATCAAAGGAGTGCTTAGGTTTTCATCACATCAACATAAAGACATAAGTCCATTGGTACAAACCAAAAGAGTTTATTAGGAAACATCAGTCAGAGCACATTCCCCCAGAATTCTCAGCAGTGGTAAAGAGCAGAGTGTGAAAACTGACCAGGACCTACAAGTACATGCTTGACAAATGACTTGCTTGGTAACCCCCAAACCTGAACATGCTTTTATTACTTTGATTTTTTTTTTTATATTTCCTGGAACAAAAACATATTCACAGATACTGTGGGTTCAGCAGAAGACTGAGAGACTGTGCTCTTAATGGATAAGAGGCAGGAGAGGAGGAGGGTACAGTGTGGGCCTGAGCCAAGTGCGTCTGCCCGTATAAACAAAACTAAGCTACACAATCATGTGATTTACGAAGATTTCTTCTGCTTCTTCTTCTCTGCCTCCTCCTCTTTCTCCTTCTCTATTTCGGCGACCAGCGTCTCGATTTCTTTGGACTCCAGAATCTGTAAAAGAAGAGAGATGAAAGGAATGTTCCAACATTAGCAGGATGACAAGAATGTTGTGTCAAGATAACTAAATAGATGAATATACAAAAATCATAAATCAAATGTTTTACCTTTAGGGGCTGGTTTCTTCGGATCACAGCTAGCTCGATGTTCTTTCCCCCGGATTGCACAACCTGTGCATCACAGATCATATACAATTGCAAACATGTTACATCCTGTCAACTTCATGATATGAGAGTCTGTTCTGAATGCATGTGACTATGGTAACATGGTGTTTACCTCTAGTAAGGCTTTGATGGCCAGTTTGATGGCATCGTTATCACTCGCGATGGCTTCGTCTGTGTAGTTTTTCTCCAAAAACTCCCTCACCGTCTTTGCACTGCGTCCGATAGCGTTTGCCTGATGACACAGGTGAGAAGAGGGTCAATATAGTCACAAAATGAATGTTCAAGAATGTTCTAGAAACAAATGGCTCTCACTTTACCTTCCATGCGTGGTATGTTCCAGAGGGGTCCGTCTGATATAGACGTGGAGTCCCATCATAGTCAAAACCAACAATCAGGGCTGAGATACCAAAGGGACGGCGTCCGTTGCTTTGAGTGTAGCGCTATTGCATGAGCAAATCACAATGAATACACCGAGCAAAATATATCTAGAAGAACGAGTTACTGTAACAGAGTAAACTACTACAAAGGTAAATTCTGTACATTTATGATTTACCCTAGGGTTGCACGATTAATCAAAATAGCGCTTTGACAATGACATTATTGGATCGCAAAGGCTGCGATTTAAATAATTAAATGTGCTGTGTGTTTCAGAGTGAAACGCCTCACTTGTTCTTTTAAATATGAGCAGCTCATGATCTGGTGTTTTGAGTGTCTCCGTTCGCACAAACTCATCTCTGCATGTGCTGATTTTGAGTTGCTTATAATTGGCATCTTTCTAAACTTGTAATGAAAAGCACTTAGACCAGATGTTGTCAGCAAAAGAGAAACTTCAAGGGTTTCCTGAAGTTTTCTGCCAAAGTAAAAGCTTGATGGTTTAACATTTGAAAATGAATTAACCATAATTAATTGTAATTTTACAGTTGTAGTGTATAGTTTTTTTTTTTTAATATATATATATATATATAGTTTTTCCATTCAAATTATTTTTCTAAAATACGTTTTCACTTTACAGTAAAATTTCTGATTTTGTTGAATATTTTATACAGTAATAAAAATTAAATATAACAATAATAAATATTATTATTACTACATAGTCAATGTATTATTGATTTATTAAAACTTTTGGGCCAAAATGTGCAGGACACATAACAAAAAACACAGAACAAAAAGTTATTATTTAAAATAAATAAATAGCATTTTCAAATTGCCATCACATTTTTATAAGAAAAAAACTAACCAAAATTAATTTTAATTTTACAGTTGTAGTGTATAGTTTTTTTTTTTTAATATATATATATATATAGTTTTTCCATTCAAATTATTTTTCTAAAATACGTTTTCACTTTACAGTAAAATTTCTGATTTTGTTGAATATTTTATACAGTAATAAAAATTAAATATAACAATAATAAATATTATTATTACTACATAGTCAATGTATTATTGATTTATTAAAACTTTTGGGCCAAAATGTGCAGGACACATAACAAAAAACACAGAACAAAAAGTTATTATTTAAAATAAATAAATAGCATTTTCAAATTGCCATCACATTTTTATAAGAAAAAAACAACATGTCATTCAAAACCCGTATGACTTTCCTTTTCTGCAGAACACAATGATATTTAGATGAACACTGGGGTCCAAACACTGACTTTCACCATTGTCATAATTTTTCAATCTTATTTTTTGTTTTACAGAACACATTTAGCCATACAGGTCTGGAACCACATGGGGTT